ATGTTTTGTTGGTACAAAAACCCCCCCAGCCGTAAGTGTCAAAATTGAAAGTCCCGAAACCGAGAATGTTGAATCCTCAGAGACAACTCCTGAATCATAACATGATTTAAGCAAAAAACAACAAGAAATCATTTATCATTGTCATTCAGAAATTTGAGTCAAAACCACAAGAAGGATCCGCTTCCAGTTACACGGTTAAAATGCTACCAATCATAGCCCACAAATAAGATTCAGTTACACGATCTAGATGCTATTGATCATAGCCTACAAGTAAGATCCGCGTCTTGATCCAAATGCTACCGATCAAAGCCCATAAATAAGATTCAGTTACATGATCTAGATGTCATCGATTATAGCCTACAAGTAGGATCTGCGTCATGATCCAAATGCTACTAATTATAGCCCACAAAGAAGATATGCGTCCTGTTAAATAATTCAAATGCTATTAACTCTTCCTGTGACGACAAGGACGATTTGTTCCCTGATTTTCACGTGTTGAAGCCGAGATGTCGAAGTCGTGAATGTCGAAGCCAAGGGTGTCGAAGTCGTAAGTGTCGAAGCCGAAGATCTAGGGTATGTCGAAGCCGAAGCCGTCGGTCTAGGAAGGAGTGTCAAAGCCTTCAATCCTTGAGTGCGACGAAGAAACCGAAGACGAAGCAGAAGAAGCAGTCTAAGATGCCGCAAAGCCTTCGATATTTCGCCTCCCTATCATCGATTGTAACTCCAACGATTATCAGAAGTGAGGAAAGCAGCGGTTGGGTTGGGTAGAAGCAAGAGCAGAAGTGAACCAACGATCAAAAAAGGCAAACTCATTCGTGAGGGCAGTGTAGATCGGAACATTCTCAGGAGCGAAGCCGCTCATTACAGTGCAGGGTCGTGGCAGACGTTGCTCATGGCGCCATGGGAAGTCGCAGAGTTGACGTAGAAGCGGTTGGGTTGGAGAGGAGCGAAAGGAGAAGCAGAATGGGGGTCTCTGTAAGCCGCGATTTCGTCGTTGCGTTCCTAGCTAATTGCGATTGTATCGCGTGAGTTCGGAAACCGAGAATGTTGAATCCTCAGAGACAACTCCTGGACCATAACATGATTTAAGCAAAGAACAACAAGAAATCATTTATCATTGTCGTTCAGAAATTTGACTCATAACCACAAGAAGGATCCGCTTCCAGTTACACGGTCAAAATGCTACCAATCATAGCCCACAAATAAGATTCAGTTACACGATCTAGATGCTATCGATCATAGCCTACAAGTAAGATTCGCGTCGTGATCCAAATGCTACCGATCAAAGCCCATAAATAAGATTCAGTTACATGATCCAGATGTCATCGATTATAGCCTACAAGTAGGATCTGCTTCAAGATCCAAATGCTACTAATTATAGACCACAAAGAAGATATGCGTTCTGTTAAATAATTCAAATGCTATTGACTCTTCCTGTGACGACAAGGACGATTTGTTCCCTGATTTTCGCGTGTTGAAGCTGAGATGTCGAAGTCGTGAATGCCGAAGCCAAGGGTGTCGAAGCCGTAAGTGTCGAAGCCGAAGATCTAGGGTATGTCGAAGCCGAAGCCGTCGGTCTAGGAAGGAGTGTCAAAGCCTTCAATCCTTGAGTGCGACGAAGAAACCGAAGATGAAGCAGAAGTAGTCTAAGATGTCGCAGAAGATGCCGCAAAAGCAGTTATGGCCAGCGAAGGAGATCTGAAGCGGACAAAGCCTTCGAACCTTTGCCTCCTTGTCGTCAATTGTAACTCCAACGACTATCGGAAGTGAGGAAAGCAGCGGTTGGTTGGGTAGAAGCCGGAACAGAAGTGAACCAGCAATCAAAAACGGTGAACTGATTCGCGAGGGCAGTGTAGATCGGAACATTCTCAGGAGCGAAGCCGCTCATTACAGTGCAGGGTCGTGGCAGACGTTGCTCATGGCGCCATGGGAAGTCCCAGAGTTGACGTAAATGCGGTTGGGTTGGGGAGGAGCGAAAGGAGAAGCAAAATGGGGGTCTCTGTAAGCCGCGATTCCGTCGTTGCGTTCCTAGCTAATTGCGCTGTATCGCGTGAGTTCGATCACGAAGGCGATAGTTTAGGGCGAAACAGATTGATGTGGGCACAACAGGTGTAGTTCAAATGAAGGAGAGGTTCTATCGAGACAGATCGAGTCGAAGAGGAAGAAGTAGAACGAAGACGGAGCAAACGAAGAAATAATGAGACGACGAGCAGACGAGCGAAAATCAAGGCAAAGAAATAATTCCTCACTTTCCATCCCGCAAGAAGGTCGGCGGGAATGGAGCCTTGACAGTCCTCCAAAAACTATCGGTGGTTAGAGCAATATTTTGTCTCTGATACCATGTCAAAGTTTTGAGAAAAATAGGTTGAATACTGAATAGGCTCGATGTCTTTTCCCTTTGCTTTCATTTTATTAAATAATACTCTTACAATCTATTTTGAATACAAATATTTTGTATAATCTATTTTAGGTAACTTAATAATACATATTTCTAATCTAAATATTCAGCTAAAAGGAAAATAAATCAGAATAAAGATATTAGAAATAATTTAAATAAGGAATTTCCTAATTATTGAAAACTCCTAATTTAGTTGCCTGATTGTCGTCCTTCCTGATTGATAGCCACCAAATCAAAGATCAAGGAAATGTTACCAGGTTTTTCCAAGGAAGAAGAATACTTCCCTTAAATTCTAATTTAAATTCAACAGAGGATCATTGTATTTCAAAATTCCTGATATCTAAAAGCATTACAAGAAAGAAAAACATCACAGGAAATACTTCATTAAGACATAGTTGAAATAGCTTTAAGCTTGATTACTTCATCTTAAAAACTCAACCATTAATTACCAATTGATTGTAGCTCTCGGAAAACATTACACTTGAATCAACAAAAGAAACCTGGCTATGCGTATTTAACTTTGATAAATTGGCAAAGGTGAAGAGACCTTCTTACTTTCAACTTAGATTAAAATACTACATCACATACAGCTCAGTATTTTTACTAAAATTGCATCACAAATGAAATTCCAACACAGAAGAATAAAAAATTATTTGCCCTGGCTGGGATCTCATAATGTTTGTATGATGCACATGTCCTACAATTATGCTGCACTTATCGTTCGATAAAAGGGTAAGATGTGGGAGA